GGTCTCAACGAAAGGAACCGCTTTCTACCAACTACTGCCCTGCTCTCTGTCCTCTTATCAAAAGACAGTGGTGGGGAAGGGGGGGGGGAGTGGAACTGGTTTTATCCTTCATGGTACTTTAATGAAAGGTATCAACGAAAGGAATTAATTTCTACCAACCATAGACCTCCTCCTCGACCTCTTATCGTAATCGGATATATTCCCTTATATCTTCAGAACGGATTGTCGGAAGAGGGTTCTCACAAAGGGCGATTGGAACGTCTGCAAGAAATATATCCATTGGTGATGTCTAAACTTTAAGAGCGAATGTCTCGAAAACTGTTTGTCGGAGGAAAGTACTCTGAAAGGAAAAATCTGCAGAATAGAGTGTCGGAGGATTTTGAATGTATGCCAGGCGGTCTTTAAATGTTTGTGTATAAAGAGCCATACCGCCTCCTCCCCTTAGAACCCTATTTCGGTCTAAAAAAATGAGCTTTATCTGCACATCTCCATTATAAAAACAAATAACCTTCCTCATAGGCACATCCTCAATTTTATATTTTTCTGTGAACCTAGAAAAAGTACATACTGTATCGAGTAGCATTTTGTATGGCGAATACAATAAGTATGGGACAATATGTCATTTAAAGGACCCATAAATGAATTATTTTGACATGTTGTCAATGACCTACTACACCAACATAATAAAAGTTGTTTATTATTTATGTCAGAAAAAATGCTTGTTAAAAATATTGTTATTAATATTATGTGTTAACATTTTGGTGTAGTAGGGGTTGACAAAATGTCAAAATAATTCATTGATGGTTCTTCTGAATGATAATTGTCCCATACTTCATTGTATTCTCCATAAAAAATGCTACTCGAACAGTATGTACTTTCAGGTTCACATAAAAATATCAAGTTCATGATATGCCTATGAGGAAGGTTATTTGTTTTTTGATATCTTTTTAAACAGGACCAGACAAAAATAAAAACGAATACGGCTAATTTCGGTTTCTGTCGAATACCTTTGGAACTGATCAGATATCTGAATTTTAAAAACATCTTACTAAGCCCTAAAATACTCGACTTTTTCTAATTAACCGACTGTGTATCTCTTATGGTTTCCAATTTTCCCATGCTGTTCATCCTTACCTTGGTCACTGTGTATATGATTTGCATCCTTTTCGTGGATGTATGTGATTGCGCGATAGTATATTTATATCATATGTGTCTTACAGATGCCCTAAATCCTGAAGAAAACCGAATCGCACCAATACAGACTACAGGGGAAATTATGGAGGAGATAGATTTGATAAAACCAAATACAAAAGGTAAAATTATATATAACTATCGCCAGGAAAGATTGCCCGTCACAGCACACCTTGTCTATGTTTTTCTTAAGATGCGAGCAACTTCCGGAATAGGATCGTGCCAATGTTGAACGAAAAGTCTTTTTGTTCAACATTGACACGATACTATCCCGGAAGTCGCTTACATTTTTAGAAAAACCTCGATTGTAGACCCAGCTCAAGTGTTTTGTGACCGGCAATCTTTCCTGACGAGAGGTTTATTTTCATCATTTTACTATTTCATTATTTGATTCTGGTGAGATACAAATGTTAAATTTTATCTAACATCATGTTAATGTTACAGGTAAACTCCAGCATAAATCTCTAGTAGCGCGCCATATGGTCTTCAGAAGAAAAATCAGCTGTCTTAGGTTTTTTCAACCAAGAAATTAAAAAAAGATCTAGTACCCGGAGAAGCTCAATGTGAAAAGTGCTTAGAAGAACATGATGTTTTGCCCACAAGATCATGGACCGACGTAAAATTCTGCATTAAAAACCATCTAGACAAGAGAAAAGATGAGTGCCTTTACTCATACAAAGTTAAAAACTGCCTTTGTTGTACTATAGTGTGACATTTTACACGTTTAATCTATTTCTTATTACTAAAAAATGTACAGGTACTAGGTAGCTTTACTGAAAGCATTGAATTTATAGATAGTTATCAATTCAATGCTGAAAGTACCATTGCTGTACTAATTAAGATTATTGTAGTTTTCTGAAACATTTTTAATTTTTCTGTTGTTCATTGCATTCCTTCTGTATTTGTGTATAGCCAACTGAATAAAGATTTCTAAGCAAAATTGTGTTTTGTACCTGGGTTAATTTTTTCTAAACGGTAGGTACTATATGTGGATCTCGCGGTAAAGGTAAATTAATTTGGTAAGAACAGAGAGATAATCTGGGGAGGGGATATCCCAAGGATGAATTTTGTTTGTAAGAAATCTACTAGATACTTTTAATACATAAACTGCTTCAGGACATTTGTAAAGCGTTGCTTGATTCAGCTTATGTCTTTGATGGCTGTTAACTTTTGGTCATTGAATGAATTTTTATTCAATGTTTTGGTCCAGGTGCCATTTGCACCACTGCTCTAGATTCTAGACTAGCGCAACTACCTACCACTATTTAGGTACCTAAAATTGACTACGTACCTACCTAACTTGTACGGCAACCATGATTTTGTCATCAATTTTGTCTATTCTGCAATATGACATTATCTTAGGCGTTTCTATCGGTTTCATAGCGTAGCGTGAATGAGGTTAGGCAACACATCGAACTCCCACACCAGTTGAATAATATTGCTTTCATGGGAGTTTTCGTTTCGAAGAACTTATGTAACCCTCCCCCTTTATACTAATGTACATATTCAGAGGAAATATCCTCTTCAGCAATCGTTATCTATAAGAAAAACAGAGAGTGAAAACTTGGCAACACTGCATTTTCACACAAATTTGGAAATGCAATGTTTATGACATCTTTCTTTAACACACTGCACAAAATGGCATATTACTGGCAGCCCACACACTAAAATCTTGTTTCATAATAATTGTGGCAAATGATGCCATAATACTTAACACAGTACAGTTTCCTTCCTATGGAAGGTATCTTGGATACCCTCGGTTTTTCATGATCCGCACGAGATGGCGCTACCTCTTATGTATGTTTAAACGAAATCGCCACAATTTGGGTTTATTCTCATGTTGCCATAAATATTACGAGGCGGGTAAGGGTGTGTGTGGGGTGTTTGTGTATGTGTGTGAGAGAGGGTGGTTTAATGTGTAAAGTGTTAATTAATAAAGAATTTATACTTACATGTGGTGTGTGTGTGTACCTATGTGTGTTTTGAGCATTCCCCCAACATCAAAACTGCCGCTTTCAACTTCTTATTTAATATACTTCTAAATACACCTCTCAACACATACAACTACAACCAAGAATACAACACCATTCTACAGATCGCACAAAATAATTCATACACAAAATCCTACATTATTAATCTATACAAAAAACTCAAACAAAAACACACACTTAAACAAATCTACCCACATCACAAAATTAATAACAAGTACATCTCAATACCCTTTCACAAACACCTCCATACACAATTACAAAAAACATTAAACCCATACAACATCACACTTACAAA